CATTAGATTTAGTAAAAACACGTCCCTTATGCACAAATATTTTAAAATCAACATAAATCGATTTTTCGGATGTGCTGTTGTACTTTTAATCCTTTTATATTTGAGATTGTGATTTTATTATTATTTGTGCAGAAATAAAACTTTCATGCACTTTATATCCAAGTTTTGTGGATTTAATGAAATAATTGTTTTAATTTTATCTTTTAAACAAGGCAGACATAACTTGTTTAAATGAAAATGATGACTTCTTCATATGATGGCATACTTACGAGTTAGGTGGGTTGTAATATTGACGAGTTGGGAAAACATTTTTTTTTCTTTATACAAACAACTAATTTATTAGAGAAGTAAAAAGAAATTTTTACTTCTAAAAAATACTTTGGTTCAAAAACGATATAAAACGTGATTTCTCTTATGCGCATGCGCTAAATTCTACACTGCTGCTGTGTAGCACAAAATGGTAAACTAGGATGATTACGAGTAATTTCTGGCATTTTTCTGAGATAAGAATCTACAACCGTGACGTTTATTTAAAACATCGTGCCAATAAATTAAAACAATCGTGATTTCCTATTAAAACATTTAACGCATGTGCAATCTCAACATTCTATATTATTCAAAAAAAAGGTTTTATTTATTATTTTTATAATTTTTATAATTCAATTTTTAAAATGTTTTAAGATTTTATTTTATTAAAAATAAAAAATTTAAACTATTTTTTCAATTACTGTCGAGGTATATCATCTGACCTAAGACACGCTTCGAAAAAGCTTTTGCAGTTAAGTAATAATTTAATAAATTACCATTAGGAATAGATAAACATGCCTAACGCATTCTTGTAACTATTTCATTTTTCTAACTGGGTCGACTGGGACCGTATTTTTTCGCACGTTGTTCTTAAGATAAAGAATATCTCTTCACACGAATTCATAAATGGTGAATATGGTGGCAAATATTTTATTTGTATGTTCTGAACCCTAATCTCAACATTATGATGGGTTCTAACATTATCCATTACCAGGGTAAATTCTTACTCGGTCCCCAAAACTCGTTCAACCTCATCAATACATTGTTAAAATAAAACTGTGTTGACTGACACAGTGACAGCTTCGCAGTGGATAATATTTAAACCATTGATGGGCAATGTCATCGAAACGTTAAGCTGCCTAGGGCGAATGATCGAGTTTGGTGTTACTCCTCTTCTTGAGCATGAATGACTGCAAAACATGTTTAAATTAAATGGACTTCATCAATAAAAACAATATTTAGATAACGATGAATAGGTAAGAATGAAGTATACTACCTAACATATTCAATTCAAAGACCTTTTGTTTCTCCTTTCATAAATTGGTCGAGTAATTTTATATGTGTATCCAAGATTGGTTACCCATCCCTAGTCAGTTGCAACCGATACATATACATCTAAAAAATTTTGAATTTAAATTATAGTTGTTGTTGTATTATCGTTTGTAAACTCTTCAATTCTTCTTCTAATCATTATAAATAACGTGACAAGCGCCACTTCTAGAACCAGGAAATTTTGAATTCGTTCGATTGTATCTTCTAAAAAATGATTGTATTGTGTTTAAATTCACTCCTGTTAACGATGAAGCTTCAGATTGAGTTTTTCCTGGATCAACAACTAGATTCACAACAAGATCTTGATCATTGATTTGATTCACAACAATATCTCACATATTTTGGGAAACAGAATTTCGTGTCTCACATCAAATGCGCTAAATAATGAATTATTATTTTAAGATGTAATTACATTTGGAAAAAAAAAATTAACCAATAATAGATTATTTAAACAGACGCAGTTACATGTAAGACTTTTTTTAGATGTAACTACATCTGGAAAAAATTCTTCCAGATGTTTTTGGACTTTGAGAAAAATTACCAGATGTAGTTACGTCTTTCTAAAGATGTTATTAGGGGGTCGTTAAATTTTCAGATGATATTGGACAGATGTTAATAGAGTAAAAGAAAAATACAGATAAGCTTGGACAAAAGTGTACAGATGATCTTGGACTACTCCACAGATATTATTGGACAGATGTAGTAATCTTTTGTCTACAGATTGCGTATTATGCTGATGAGCTGTTCTGATTTTATAAGTTTTTTTAAAATCTTTCAAAAACTTTCAAAATCCAAGAACCAAAATAACTGGCGCTTTTAAAATCTTTTAAAAGGTCCGAAACTACTGGCGCGAAGACTCTGCGAGGAAAAACTTTTGATTTTTGTTTTTATTTTGTTTGTTGGTGAAATTTAGCGTTATATAAATCTTTTTTTAGGTGCCTCAAGAAGTTTTTTTGGAATTATTACAGAGCACCTCGAAAGAATACTTAATAAGAAGTTCACGCCTCCTTCCAAACCGGTGTTACAAACTTGTTTAGAGGAGTGCTTACAACCACGGATCCTTTGCCTCTGAGGCAAGTGCATTAACGCTGTTCCACAACTGCTAATATATAGAAAATCCCTTGTCAGACATGACACTGCAAAAAAAAAAAAAATAAATAAACTTCAAAGCTAGTGCTGCTCAAAATACTAAAAGGAAAAATAGTTGGAAAGAATATGAGAGACAAGCATGTATGTCATAGGATTAGGGCTTGCAATCTCGGGATCCCGATATCCTGGGATCCCGGCCTTTTTTATAATACCAAATCCCGGGGTTCCCTATACGATCGAGCAAAATAAAGGGAAAATAAAAAAATATATAAAAATAACAACAATTTATGCACATTAATATAATAGTTTTTATTTATTATAATATCACCCAAACTTATTCTGTTCTGTAATTCTGCAAAATAAACTTTTTTAAACTGAAAAAAAAACGCGCGTTTCCTACAAGGTTTACTCTTAAAATTAAAACTTAAATAAGCATGGCGTTTGTGGACTTTACAATTAAAATTAACTCAGCTGTTTGGAAATACTTTCTACGAGAAGAGAAAGAGCAAACAGCGATGTGTAAATTGTCAAACTGCAAGAAGATTTTAAAAATCTGTTCTGGCTCAACAAAAGGACTTCATATACACATGTTGTCGGTGCATAATGTGAAGGTCGAAAGTCCAACCCCACCTAATATTACCGGAGAAAGCAAATCAGATAAACCACCAAAAAAGAAATCTAAACCACTAACAGAAAACTTTTCGATTTTTGAGAAGGAAGATAAAACACTTCACGTTGCACTTGATCGTCTAACGGACTTACATTTAATGTGATTTGTACTTCAATAGATTTACGTGCCACTCTAACTGCTATGGGATCAAAAATCTACCAACGTCAGTAAACACAATTCCTAATCATGAAGAAAAGTACAGCAAAAAAGTAAGATTACGTTTAGTTCAGCAAATTAAAGCGCTCAAGAGTACAGAATTTGGGGTAGGAGAGAAATTTTCTTTGTATTTTGAAGAATGGACGTCACTTCGAAACCGTCGTTATATGAACATTAACGTTCATGAAAAAATTCTCAGTTTTGGAGTTTGAGTTTAGTGCGAATAACAGGGTGAAATGCCAGCAGAAAAGTGCATTGAACTATTAAAAAAAAAACTTAAAGACCATTATCTTGATCTACACGGCGACATTGCGGCTATAATGAAAAGTCGCTAGCTGCAAATCAACAATTATGTTTTGCTAAACGGCATACAACTTGTTTTAATTGATGTTCTTTATAAAAGAAGAGAATTCGATTCAAATCAGTCAGAATTTGAAAATGAGTTTTTTGACATTTTTTCATCCGAGAATGAGGATATTGAGGAAGATTTACTGGGCCACAATCATGAAACTTTAAGATCTAAAATTGAACCAAATGAAGTTCATTATGGACCAGTCATTAAAAAAGTACGCAAGTTGATTATAATATTTAGACGATCACCTACCTGTTTTCATGACGGTATAAATAATATACCGTCATGAAAACAAGTTCTTGCTTGACAACCACGAGCCTAAAGATTAAAAAACCAAACCGCGCTTGCAAATAGTAACATTTTATAATTGTATTTGAACGTCACGATGATATTATATAGTATACTTTTTAACGTAAAAAACAATGTAATTTTACCTGGTGATTGCTAAACGCATGAAACTTTTAGTAGTAAAAATTATGTAGTTATTTTTATAATCTTGTCAAAAAATCAATTGAGTGCGCCTAACAAATTTGCAAACATTGGCGTAAGTGCGAATTGACATAAGTGCGAACTGGTATTAGTGTGAAGCAGTTACAAAAAACTGGCATAACTGCGAATTGGCATAAGTGCGCCAAATAAATATGCTAACATTGGCATAAGTACGAACTGGCATAAGTGCGAATTGGCATAATTGCGAAATACTAATTTGCACTTATGCCAATATTTGAAATTTTATTCGGCGCACTTGTGCCAGTTCCCACTTATGCCAGTTCGCACTTATGCTAATGTTTGTAAATTTGTTTGGCGCACTCATGCCAACTCGCAGTTATGCCAGTTCGCATTTGTGCCAGTTTTTGCAACTGCTTCGTACTTATGCCAACTCGCACTTATGCCAATGTTTGCGAAATGTTTTGGCGCGCTTATGACAATTTGCACATATGATTTGTAAAAGAAAAAATAGTCAAGATTTCCATTTCGTTGTGGAAAATTATAAATGCTTGGTTTTACACACGCAAAGTGTGAAGCCAATAAAAAACATACACACACAAAGGTATTGACTCACACACAAAGGAATTTGTGTGTGTGTGTGTGTGTGTGTGTGTGTGTGAGTGTGTGAAACCAAGCAAAAAAAAAACACACACACACATAAAGATATTAACATTAAAAAAAAATATTATATTTCGACTAGAGACACATTATGTTGACAACAGATTCTTCGACTTTTAAAACAATTTAAAAAAAAAAAGTTTCAATAACAGACAGGTAAAATAAAAAAAGCGAAATTTCAAATATTGAAAAAAAAAAAAAAAAATCAAATCGATTCTAATCAGAAAATATTTACAAGTACTCAAATATTTACAACAATATATACTATAATATTTAAAGTTTCTTTTATATACAAAAAGTAACATTAAATCAGGTTATATTTTAAATGAAAAAATCTTATATAATTATTTTCTACTTTAATTTTGGAGAGAACTCTATAGGATTCATATCTAGCATATAACCAAGCAACGCAATCCAATTTTGGTCAAGATCATCATATCTATTTGGAAAACTGAACTGTGCACGCCCTTTAAATTCAGCAGGGGTATCTTCTTTTTTTATACCATCGAGTACAACGGCAAGTTGGGAGGAACGCTGACAACTGTTGTATAAAAGCTTTCTTATTAAATCTGCTTCCATGTTAACTTTACAAATTATTTCCTCTGCTGCTATCCGAGATGTCATCGCCTAGAGCATAAAAACTTATTTTAAAAGTTGAAAATGGTTACTTTAACTGTACTACATTGAAAGCATAGACAAAACGACGTCAGATAAATTGTTATTTTTAAAAAACAATAAAAACAAACAAAAACAAAAAAACAAACACAATAGTCAATTTATTTACACAATCATAAGTGGTTTAAATTATATCCATCATACGCATCATACGCATGGTTGGATCAGTAAAGTACTAGCTTTTACTATATTGAAGTAAAGACGTTTTTATTAAGAAGTTTTATTAAACGATGTCTAATTTTTAAGACCTTTACTGATGTATACAGGTAGATAAAAAGATGTTTTACAAATGATGTCATTCTTGACTTGCAATTTTGCAATATACAACATGAAGTTTTTTCAGAAACATGATTTTCATACAAAATAACTTATCTCATATTTTATTTATCCATTTCATTTTTATAATAATAATACTAACGCCAGTACAAAAAGATTTCACATAATTACGCATAATTATGAAAAGATTTCACATAATTACGCCTATATGAAAAGATTGCACTTAAAAGCAGTATGACTTTTATAAGTAATCAGATATAAATAACAACTTTTTTTTATTTTAGTAAATATATTTACTAAACTCTAAAAAAAAAAGTCCTTTAAAATGTCAATGGAGTCACTCCATCGGCAGTAACTCTTTAAAGTATACGGATTAAACTGTAATGAAATGAAAGGAATAGAACAGCGAATTGCTTTGTTTGGTATAATACATCAAAATTATTATCGTGTACTTTTCAGAGCACTCACGTGTACAAAAAGTTCTTACTGTGATAGCACCAGAAGTAGCTGAGTATTTTTTGGTACCTATCTATTTATTGTTTTTAAAACATGTTTCGAAGTTTATATTGTGATTTAAATGGTTTTTTTAATTTTTTTAAAATACACCTTTACAAAATGTAAATTAGTGATTATTATTTTAATAATTGTATGTGTTTTACATAGCAATTTTTAATTATGTGTATAATACATAAAAATTATATATGTATTAACTTAATTTTCCTGAAAAAAACATCAAAACCAAACATCTACTTAGCTAATTCTTCCAGCTAATTACGGGAAATATGTCGGGCCTACTCAATGACGTACTTATGATTCACAGACATTAGAAAGTTTAGCTGTTAAATTAGAATTGGGTCCAAGTAATGATTTTGTTTAGATGCAATAAAGGATGCTCAAACTATATTTAGTATTTCGAATAAAGCAAACACTGCACTGTGGGCCAGAATTGTCTAAAAAAGGAGAAACTATTTATTGCTTAAATATATAATATAGATATAATACATATTTATAAGAGTTTTTGAAGCCAAAGATTTTTTTTTTAGATTTAATTTTAAGCTTGGAGTGGTCATGGCTACACAGGTGGTCATTTTAAGGGTGGTTAAGGGATGTCCCTTAAAATGCGCAGTCATGAGATGTCCTGATGTTTTTTATTGCACGATTTGCTTGTCTTGTTGTATGTCTAAAAATAGGTAATTGAGATCAGCGAATTCAAGTTTGGGCATATTTGGTCACACACGAGCAGTGAATGCCTGAGGAAAGAAATGAAATACATTAGAATAAAGGAAAATTAATTTTTGAACAAATCATATTTTGACAGTTGTCAAGACAAAATAAAACAAAATTCGATGAGGATCAGCATTTATAACTAGTTTATCTCGTCAGACAAATGTCATCGCTACTTATGCTTTACCCCACAACTATTAGGTATGAATCATTTTTCTGCAATACAAATTAATTTTTTTAAAAAAAACTTCTAAGAGGACTTAAGTCGTTCAAAATGAAATTGAAAAATTTTGCTCACATCAAACCGGTGTTGGCGAGATTAATTTGAATGCATCTTCTAATTGGCACAACTCACTGATTTGATTCCAGTTCAAACAAATCTGTTTAATTCTTTGGCCACCAAATCATTAGGATCAGTGGCTTAGATTTATGGTCTCACATATACTTATTTTTTTTGTTGATGGCTCTTTGGGCTTTGGTACAAAGTTTGCAGTATTTCAATATTTAAGGAAAGCAAGAAGACACAGCTTCAGGGCATTAGGAGCCTGTTCGACGGTCTGTTGAGCTTCAGATGGAACTTCTATAATATCATCTCTGTCATCTATAATAGACTGAGTGAACAAATTTTTCAGCCAGAGTCTTTTTGCGTTTTTAATAAATTCTTTTTTTTATGACATCAAGATTGGGGACACTCTCAATTTTTCAAGAACTGAATTTTTGAGAAATTTTAGCAGAATGCCAGTTAAGATCAAATGCATTTTTAAAAATCCTTTTTTTGATTTCTTCAAGAAAATGTCTACAAATAAAACTTTGCTTTCTCCAATAAAAATTCAAATGCACCTTGTGCAATGTTCAAGTTAGATTTATTGCTACTCATGGTAACCATAGCCATTAAACATCATTGAAGATTTGCTAATTAAGGGATGCTTGTCTCTAAATAATTAGGCCAATCATGTCTAAATGCTTGAAGAGTCTTTTTAATACCTGGCATCATGTTATTAAAAGTCATCAACATTTTAAATGGAGGGTTTTCATCAAGTTTTGACATCAAGAACCAGAAATTTGAATTTGATTCCTAGAGATAAGGCATTTTCTTTAGGCTATCAATCAATTTAATGTTATACTTAAATTTTATTTTTGTTTTAGTTTACACATTATTGAGAGTTTTAGTACTAGACAATGCAGGATCGTACTCGAGTGTTTCCTTATCATAATTTTCTACATCAGAATTTGCATCAATATTATTTTTGTCTACATATTTTTTGTTTGTTGTTGAACTAAGCACATTCGGCTGAAAGAACTCTGAGGTAAACATGCTGACATGTAACTCTCTGCAACTAATTTTTCTTTGCTCTTGTCTGATGATGAACCCTCATTTGCTTGATTGATGTCTGTAATTGTCTTTTTTCGTGTAGTTTAGTGCTAGTTTTACATTCCATGATCATAGTAAATATAATTAAGTTGTTGTGAGAGACAAATTTTAGTGCAAACACTTCCCCCATCCGTAGTTGACCAATGCAATCTTAGATCAATGCTGAAAGTGATTTTGCAAATTGATGATTTTGCAACCTCAACAACATTTTAGCACCACATATTGATCCATTTTGATCATGCCTAGATTTTGATTGTAATCGTTGGGTCAAAAAATATAGATGTTTGTAAAATTAATTGTTGGGTCAAAAAAATGGATGTTCATAAAATTAATTGTTGGGTCAAAAAATATGGATGTTCATAAAATTAATTGTTGGGTCAAAAAATATGGGTGTTCATAAAATTAATTGGTTTAAATGTTGTTTCATCACTGATATAAGAAAACTTTTTTCTATTGGATTTGATCACCCTTATTTCATTAAATATGATTTGTTCTTTACATTCGTTCTTTGGGAGTGTAGTGTAACTTTTAGTCAGCTTTTACACCAATGGATTTATTTGAATTTGCACCAATGGATTTATTTGAAATTGCACCAATGGATTTATTTACTTGTTCTTTACATTCTTTGGGAATGTAGTGTAACTTTTAATCGGCTTTTGCACCAATAGAAATGAATGAATGTCTTTTGCACCAATGGATTTATTTGAATTTATTTGAAAAGTCCAAGATTTGATGCTAGCTTGACAATAAGTTCATAAGTCAAGTCAAGTTTCACTTTAAAAAACAAATCAATCATCTGTAAGTGTTAAAAAAGATATACTAAGCTTAAAAATAAGTAGGGAAAAAAATTAATTAGTTTTAGATTGCTCGATGTTTCTAGATTAAAAAAAACTAAAAAGACTTTACCCCAATATAGAAGTTGGTTTTAAAGGGTTTGGCCAATACAATGAAATATATGTGGCTCAATCAGTTAGATATGGTTGGTATGAAATCTTACCATGCTGCGTATTATGCTATGACATTGTGAAAAGTCAGCTAGAGTGAATTATTTTTCTTGCAAAACAAATATACTTTATATGGTATCTAATTAAAACAATATATTTGAACAAATATTTTATTCTTTTGAAATTAGGAAACCTAGCAATCCAAATATATTATTTAATATGATGAGGAAGAATGCACATACAGACACTTTGAAAATCTGAGGTGTACAATTAAAAAAAAATTATTTAAGTAGAAATAATGATTATTTTTTATTTAAACATAACTCTCATCCCACTCATAGATGGTAGTGGACCAATTATAATGTCGTAAATTGTTTTTTTTTACAATTAAATATGGCTGCAATGTGAATTGTTTCATAAATGTTTATTTTAGTTATTTATCTATGTTTAAATAAAAACAAATATTATATATATTATTATGTAAAATACAAGATTCAGTTGCTGTTAATGGAAACACAAGATTCAGAATTTTTTTCCAGAATGGTGAGAAATCCTGTGTTAAAGACATGTCTAACAGTCTTTGGAGTGTTAAAGTCACGTCTAGCAGCTGGAGCATATTGCAAGCTTCTCTCTAGAATTTCTCACCATTCTGGAGTGAAATTCTGAATCTTGTATTTCCATTAACAGCAACTGAATCATAAAATACAAGATTCAGTTTCTGTTAATAGATACACAGTTAATTCAGAATTGATACTCCATGCAGAATTAAACATCCAATGAAAGCTTGCAATGAGATCTTTATTTATGGCAATTCAAAGCTTTTCTTGCCCAACCCCCTGTACTATACTAAGATTATTTTTACTTGTTCTTATACAGTTTTACACTACTTGCTTTATATACAATCAATTTTCTGATTTTTTTATTTCTTTGATAAAATATAATAAAAGTAAAAAACTTATTATAAATTTGCAGAGAACAATATAATGCAGAGGTTTGATTATAAAACCTATGTATTTAAATACATAGAGTTATACCGCAGAGATTGATTAAAGTATCTATCTCCACTAGGCAATACACCATTTAAGTGGTTGTGCACAAAATGATAAGTGCTTATGGGAATTATCTTGATCAGTACCAAGATAGCACCAGTGCTAGATGCTTATCTTTACAGCAAACATATACTATAATTCTACTAATTGTCATGGCTTTCTTGAGAGAGGCTTGGCTTGGAATAGAGGCTTGGAATATACTCCAGCTCTTAGACATGATTTTAACACCAAACTACAAAAAAAGTCTTTGTAATGCCAATTTTTTAAAGAATGTTTCCTTTTAAAAGTGCAGTGTGAATTCTATCTTTTATAACTCAAAGTTTGCAGGATACCAACAGTTGCAACTAAGCAACAGTTAAAAAGCAAACTGTCTAAGTCAAAATTGGCTTGTTTGATGTGACCAAATAAATTTTTACATTTTAAAAACAAAAAAGTTCAAACAAATGAGCCAGAGCATGATTAGGTCATTTAAAACACATTATAGAAGAATGTTTGTTCAAATATTTATAGATGCAATAAAGAAAAAAAAAAGTTTTTTTCTAGAATTCTTTATTTTTAATTAATAGTGATGGATGAATCGAATTGGATGCTATGCAAGTACTTGATGCTATTTGGGGAAAAATTAAAATGGTGATATTTTAAGAAGATATTTAAAAATAATACTAAAAATAAGTGGCTCATTGTAAATAACAATTGCATGTAGTTAAATAAGATTTTCATGTTTTACAATCTTGAAATTCTTAAACAATAAAAACAGTTATTTTATTTTCCATCCAATGTTTATTTTATTTTTATTCATCATTATTTTTATTTGAAAGATAAAAAGGCATCATTTGGAGATATATCAAAAATTTCTGTATGATCAACTTTAAACTGCTTTTCTTGGAACAAACAGTCATCTTTATTCTTGGAACAAACAGCCATCTTTATTCTTGGAACATACAGCCATCTTTTTTCTTGGAACAGATAGCCATCTTTTTATAATTAAAATTATTTTACTAACACTGGAATTTCAAAAAAAAAAAAGTTTTGATGCCTTGCTAAATGCGATGATCATTTTGATGGATAAATAGAAAAGTTTATAGTTCATACCTTCAAGTTCGTTTCTGAAGGCACACTGAGAAAAGATGTTCATAAATAATTTTTTTTAACACTTCCAAGTCAATAATGGCTGATGAAGACAAAAATAACATTATATATATATATATATATATATATATATATATATATATATATATATATATATATATATATATATATATATATATATATATATATATATATATATATATATATATATATATATATATTTTATGCGCCTTGTCATTATTTTTTTTTTGTTGATAGTTTTATATATATGTTAATAATTTGAGAATGATTAAGAAACATCAATAATAATTTTTTTTTTAAAATAAATTAGAAAATTTTAAATAAGAAAATAAATTTATTATAAAGAAATCAATAAAAATGATGAAGAAAAAAAACTAAAAAAAAAAACAACCTTTAAGTAAGAAGGCGATAAAACCATAATGATCTTATCAGCAATACTTAGATGTTCTGGTATCCATAGTGACAAACCCCCACAATCAATAATTTCATTTTGACTACATAGATCAATGCAAACTTGAACATTTGAAATTGAATAAAGTTGTTCTGCTAAACGCAATACTTTTTCAATATCTTTATTTGTTGTTGCACAGTGAGAAATGTAGACAAGTTTCTCTTTTTTTTCTAATTAATAGTTAAAAAATTTCTTAAACTTTTTTCACACATTCAAAATTTACATTAAACAAATTTTATTAACATTTATTTCTTGATTTATTATATAGTATAAGTGAACTTCAGTTGAAGTGTAAGTTAGAAAACCTTTTAACCAGCTTTAAACAACAACAAGGCAAATAAAAAAAAAAAAATAGCTTTTGACTAAATTGCTAAAATTTTACATATTAAGTATTATTTGGATCATCAATATGGATCAACCATGCGTTTGGATCACTTTATTAAACTTACAATGGATTTATGCTTTGAAAACAAAATTTTGTAAATCATTTTAGTGTATCCATGTTCTATTGATTAGCTTGTTTTGTTGTGTAAACTGTTTGTTTTGGTGTGTAAACTGTTTGTTTTGGTGTGTAAACTGTTTGTTTTGGTGTTTAAACTGTTTGGATTAAAAATGCAAGTTTTTTTTTAAGTAATTACAATATAATATTATTATATAGTATATTTTTTAATTTCAATAAAATAACACTAACATACACAATATTTCTTTCCCATACAACAATAAGTGTATTTATATAAGTTTTTTACTGATTTTTTGCTGATTTCAAATCTGAAAACTGTTTTGCTCTGTCACATCGCTCCAAAAAAAAAAAAAGAGGCTCTTAAACATTTTTTCAAAATAAGCCTTTATCTGTAGAATATTCTATTCTACAGATAAACTGTAGTATATTCTATTCCATAATAGTTTATCTGTAAAATATTCTATTCTACAGATAAACTGTAGTATATTCTATTCCATAATAGTTTATCTGTAGAATATTCTATTCTACAGATAAACTGTAGTATATTCTATTCCATAATAGTTTATCTGTAGAATATTCTATTCTACAGATAAACTGTAGTATATTCTATTCCATAATAGTTTATCTGTAGAATATTCTATTCTACAGATAAACTGTAGTATAGTCTATTCCATAATAGTTTATCTGTAGAATATTCTATTCTACAGATAAACTGTAGTATATTCTATTCCATAATAGTTTATCTGTAAACTGTAAACTGATAAACTGTAGTATATTCATAATAGTTTATCTGTAGTATATTCTATTCCATAATTTTATTGATCTTTGTTTTCATAATAAATATTATTGACACAGCAACTCAAAAACGTTTGAACTCTTCATTAATTTTTGTCAATGCAATCCTCCTGGGTCTACAACTTAGATACAGAAAACTCTGCTGCTCTCTCTGTGAATTGAGATAGAGATATAAAAAAAATATACTATAAAAAAAAGAGTTAACTTATTAAGGATTAGACGGAACTTGGTCAAAAAAATGTTGCTTGAACCACTGGTTTTAAAAAAAGACATTAATACCTTTACACATCAAGTTGAGTACGATGAAAAATTTTGTAAAAGCTTTGGATAAGATGAGTGATGTCTTCACATATCTTCGTTCCCTGTTTCCACAAATAAGGGATGCTTAAATAAAGGAAGGAAACTTTGTGGGCTGAATCAGAATCAGAATTATCAGAATCAGAATCAGAAGATCAGAAAAGTAATAGGTGATCAACATTTTTAAGATATACTAAGTGGAAAAAATCTTGAGGCATGGCTAGCTTTTAAATCCATTGTTGCTGACTTTTTGGATAATAATAAATCTACCAATTACAAAGAATTGGTTAAACAGTGCATAGATGCCTTCCAGAGCATGGGATGTAAGATGTCTCTAAAAATTCATCTTTTTGAATCCCATCTCGACTTTTTTTCAAAACATTTTGGGGAGGTCAGTGATAAACATGGAGAGCGTTTTTATAAGGAAATTGCTTTGATAGAATCATAACACTAAGAACAATGGAATAATGGCATGCTAGCAGACTACTGCTGGTTACTCCAATAAGATGTCCCAAATTTAAACCTACTCAATAAAATTGATGTTTTTTTGAATCAAATTGTTTAGCAATTACAAAACCTTCTATATATTTCTTTTTTTTTAATAAAATTATATATTTTAAATAATAAAAAATTCTTTGTAGAACTTTTTAAATATTTTCATTGATAATAATATGAAAGTACATTAATTTTTTAAGTGGTCAATATTTCAATTCAAGTTTTCTTAAAATTTTGATGTGATACAAGCAAATAGATCACATATTAAAAATTGGCATGTTATAAGTAATAAGAAAAACATCCATTCACTAAAGAAAATAATTTTTTTTTGTAATCAAAAGAAAGAAATAAAAAGAGAAAAAACATACATACCACAAAGCGGAATTAGTGCTTTATTCTGTTTATAAAAACTAAGTTTGCCTTTGACTCTTATATAACACCACACACCAGCAAGAGCAAAAAATACACTTAAAGAAACAAAAACAGTTATGTAAAATTCATTCTTATAAGCTGCAAAACCACTAGACTGTTTGCTCATTGTTGACATGGGGACTGGTGTTACTTGGCAACCATTATCTACAAAAAAATATTATTTTAGAAAAAAAATTTCAAACATTCAGTGATATAGTTTCCTAATTTCCAGAACATAAATTTAAACTTAAAAAAAAATTTGAAATTAACTTGCAGAATGATTTTCAATAAATAAGTTTTAAAACCAAATGTGTATAAAATTTTATATTAATATATACAAAAAATTATTAAATGATTCAAATTACAAAAAAAAGTAAACAACAACAACTTAATTACGCTTTTTCCAAAAATAATACAGATTAAAAATCAGACAAAAAAAAACAAAATTAACAAACAAAAAATAATTATTATTTAGTTAATTCACCTCCCCAAGCCAATAAAGGTTACTACAGTCAGGAAGGCTACTTAAATTGTGGTTACAACCTGCCCTCAACTATAACTCCAAAACATGAACCTTGAAAAACAAGGCTGCAGTGTTATATGTTATAACATGTTGACAAGGAATTTAATTTTTTGTAAAAAATAGAAAAGGAGGAAGGAAAAACAGGAAAAAAAAAAAAAAAGTTAATTTTTTAAATTTAAATTACTTTTTATTCAAAATACTATTTAATTAAAAAGAAATTTCTGTTTTTACATTTTTGATATCAAATGTAAAAATGTTGGTTGCTGCACAGAGAAACATATTGAACCTGGTAATACCAAGGACATGGTGTAGATCGAACTCGGAACTTCATGCTTATGAGGCTAGAGCTTTACCACTACACCACTACTGCAACAAAAAAAATTAAAAAAAAAAAAATTGTGTAATTATTTTTTATTCACTACCACATTTACGCAAAATTTAGAAATGGACATATTAAAAATAAATATCAAGCCTTGTTCTAAATAAAAAATGGCTTAGCTTACTAGTTCGTCTTGATTTTGACCTTAACTTTTTTTTTTATCATTTAAGCACATTACCTTTTTAAACTACCGCAGTAAAATAAATACAGCAAAACAAGTTTATTTTACTAACAAAAAGAAATCTAGAAGCATTATTTTGTAAATGTACATATTGTGGAATGTCTATTTTGTTTGATTTTTTAATTTTTTAAATAATTAAATTTACTATTACATTTTTTATTATCATTTAGCATAAATTATTTTCTTTCTTTTCTCAACATTTGTATAAATGAATAAAAAAATGTTTTTTTTTAAATTATTTAAAATTGTGGCTTCACAAAGAATGATTTTTTACCTTTAAAAGTTACTGACAAACAAAAAATATTACTTGTTGCAAAGTAAAAAACTCAAGTTATTTACTTTACCAGCACTTTTTTTTGGGACAAAGATTTAAGCTTCATTTGATAAAAAATATATACAATTGGGCTTTACTAAGATGAGTTCTAAGAGGAGCATAGGGGGTGTGTAGCTCCGCTACGAAATTTATTAGTCTGTAAAGTAAACACTGCAGTTGGCAGAATCAGATTTATAGTTAGCAGTTGGCAAAAGAGGAACCTTTTTTTTTAGATCTTAGCAAAATTTAAGCCTTAATCAGCAAAACATAGATATGTTACCTCCCCTCCCCTTTAAGATCTGTCTTTGGTACAGCTTTACTTGCCTAAAGAAGAAAAATCAAAAGTATTTCTTATGAATATTTTGATGCAGTGTTATATGTTATAACATGTTGACAAGGAATTTAATTTTTTGTAAAAAATAGAAAAGGAGGAAGGAAAAACAGGAAAAAAAAAAAAAAAGATAATTTTTTAAATTTAAATTACTTTTTATTCAAAATACTATTTTAATTAAAAAGAAATATCTGTTTTTACTTTTTTGATATCAAATGTAAAAAAGTTGGTCAATAACAATGCTACTTTGGATTAGTCTTAATAACTATTTGTGGCTGTTCCTATGCTAAGCCAACATTATTTTCGGATATAAGAACATTGTATAGAAAAATATAACATGAAAATTCAAATAAATAAAAAAATAAAAAATAGAAATTAAAAAATAATCTTTTACTTTTTTGATATCACACAATCTGTTATTTATGTAAAGCTGATGTAACTATTATAAAGTATTATTTTTTAAACAAATTTTGAACAAATTTTTATTTATAAATTTGTTCATTTATATTTATAAATTAAGAGAGCTGTATTGCTTCAAACAATTCAAGCTAAAAAATTGTCAATAGAGATATATCCATAAAAGAAGTTTTTTTTAACCATAAAAAACTCTTTATAAGATGTCATTTAAAGTTTGTCATTTAAATGTTTTTTAAAGATGTCACTTAAAGATTTTTAATTTTTTTGATAAAATCAATCATTTTAAATAAAACAAACAAACAAAATTTAAAATAATATATATAATATAATAATATATAATATAATAAAATTTTATAATTTAAAATAAAGACGCTAATAAAATAAAATTTAACATATATTCTGTTTTAGTTAATAATTTTTTTTTTTTAAATTAGGTAATTATTTTTTTTATTTTTTGTTAAGATAAATCGTCCGAATAAATACTCTTGCTTGTGCAAAATGACAAATAAATTTTTTTTCATTACTTTTATTAATTTTTTTTTTTAATGTACCTATAACATCTTTTTTTTTTCTTTTACTGGACATTTTTGATGGAAAAGTTAGTTAAATAAAAATAATTTTTTTTTCTTAAGTTACTTCATTTGTAAATAGTGCAAATATCAAATGTAACTGCCAAGCAAACTTTTTTACATAATTGTCATTTAAACTTCATAAGTGGTTTTTGTAAAGTTAATTACTTTCTTTTATCTTACCGCTTAAATCTTTCCTTGGATTTGTTTAAATATTAAAAAATGGCTAATGTTAAATGGCTTATATTGAATTTGTACGAACCTTTATTCTCTGGTTCTGATTCCTGTAAAATGAGGTTATCAAAAAACAAGTGATCAAAAAAGCACTTTTTTTGTTCACTTACAAATCCTTTTGGCTACCGTAAATAATAAAATTTTTTACAAAAAAGAAGCACTGGGCTTTGTACACTTGCTTTGTTTTATCAAGCACTTTTAAAACAAGAAGTTACAAGCTCAATCCCCACCAGTCCTGGTAGCACCATGCTCAACTTGTTTCTTATTGCAGCAGACTTGTTTGTCAAGGTTTGTGTTTTGGAGATTTTATTTCAGCAATACATTTTGAGTAAAACGTATGTGGATGTTAAAAATAAAAGGACAGTTTGGCTTTAGTATACTCATTTGAATGAGTTAAATTGTTATGCAGTTTCAGATTTTCAAAATCAAAGGAGATTGTCAAAAGTGTGCTGAGTACGTAGGTGCAGCTTTTTTCCTATTATAAAACACATATTTTTTTCAGCTTTTCTTTATAAAAGGATGAGGGGTCTAGTTAATAAGCATTATGCTATTTGGATTTTACTTATGAAATGGTGATTTCACTTATGCGTTAAGCAATTTATGGTTTCAAACTTTTTTTTTTAAATTAAACTGTCTTTTAAAACAGTTTATGTGGAAAACATTAAAGTGTACACTCTTAAAAAAGTTCCGGTAAAATTTGCTTGAACTGTTCAGGCTATTTTTTACGCCTGAAACTTCGGGCGAAATAACTGAAAGTTCGATCATTGCGCTCTGATGATACCTTTTTCCTGAACACAGTTCAGGATTAATTTAGATCAATAGTTACTGTTGGTATAAATTAATCCTGAACTTTAGACAAAACGCACGAGCCTGTAAAAACCTGAACTTTTAATCTTAATTTTTTGCGTTTTAAAATATGCTCGGAAATATTAAAAAACTTAAACACTGAAGAGTTAGTTAATCATTTGATTTCGAAAGGAATTTCTGTGGAAACCACTGCTAAATTGTCAAGTAAGTATTTACTACATATAGAATTAGTTTTAAACAATAATGCATAAAACAAATTTAATTAGTTTAAATAATTTTGAAAATGTTATCTTTCGTAAACTTACTATTTAAAGGCAAAGATATTGACGGAGATGCATTTGTGCAAATGAACTCTGTTTTGTTTCATTGTATTGGAATAAAAATGGATCAAGCTATAAAGCGTCAGTCTGTAATTGCAGCAGAAAAGGTGAACTTAATATTATTATGTACTTTTTTTTAAGGATGTCAATGTGTTGTTACCTTTTCCCCGAAGATTTTTCAACTGTTTCTTTTTACATTAACCACTTGAGGAATGTTCAATTTTTATTTGAGCCTTGTCAACTTCAATGTAATGTGGGTGGTTATATACGATTATTTAGGACATATAATATGCTAAGAAAACATATAAATAAAGATCATATTGGTTTTGTAGTTAATATTGATCGAACATTTAAAATAAGTTGTGAAATTCCAGTAATACCTAATTCTGAAGCTAAAAGTAAAATTAAAATAAACAAAGGATGTGAAAAAAAAATTAAAGATGCTGCCTCACCTATTGTTGATGAGTATGGCATATCACAAGCAGCATTAAAAATTATTATGGGTTCAATGTCTTCCAGCTCTATTCCTTTAAGTACTTCAAAGTTTGTTAAGAACTGTTCACAAAACCTTATTGAAGACATATTTAGTTATTTATTAGGTAAAACAGTTTCAATATTGGAAACATGTAGGTGTGAGAAGCATTTAATAGATAACTTAACAGAAGAGTTCAACAGATGGAAAACACCTTTTAGTGGGATTGATTCATAACATCAAATATTATCATATTTGAAAAATAAAGGCCTATACGTTGAACCAGTACCACATTCAATGGGTGAAAGATGGGATACAAAACGTGACAGAAAGACTAAAAAGCAAATACAAGTCAAAGTAAAAGATTTGTTTTATTACATACCTATTGAAAGTACAATAAAGCTTGTGTTGTTACATCCTGAAGCCATGAATATGTTAAAATTGGAGAAAATATCTAATTTTGAATTTGTCGAATATTGGTTTTGTGGTGAAAATGGTAAAAAGTTAATGGCATATGCCAAATTTAAATTTCCTAAAAGTTTCACTTTGTTTATTCAAATATACTTTGATGAAGTAGAGACCACAAATCCTCTTGGATCAAAAACAGGCATTCATAAAC